CAGGTGCGGGGGGCGGGGCGGGGCGGGGCGGGCAGCAGGGGCAGCGGTCAGGACAAAGCCTTCGCCGGGGTGGATTCTCATTGAGGCATGGATTCCCCTTGGAGCCTGAGAGGACAGGTGTGAATGTGAGGACATTTGACTCAGAATGTCAGGCAAGAGTCCCAAAGAATGATGGCTGCATAGAGTTGTCACTTCGACAAATTCCAGATGGTCTCAGCAGCAAGGGCCTTCAGAGACTCAACCCTGGAGTTCCAGATGGGGAGACTGAGACCCCAAGGCAGGCAGAACTTGATCCCCAGCATGACCCCGCTGCTCAGACACCCGCCATCACCCCCAGAGAGGCCAGCCTTACCCTAGAGATGTCGAAGTTCTCTTGCACTTGGATGTCGTCCGGCAATGTCGGCACAGGGTTGGTGCTCACCACCACGCAGGCGGCCAGCAGCAGAGGTAGGGCCCCGAGACTCTGCATGGCTCTGGCTCCTCTACCTAGGGGGTCACTCACAGGCTTAGTTTGGGGACAGAGGCTCTCCCTGCCTGAAGCAGCTGCAAACTGAGGCCAGGGAAGAAACCTGTGGCTTGTAAGTGACCTTGGTGTTTGCCCTGCTCAGCCAGGACCAATCAGAGCCCCACGGCCAGGTCCGATTGATCTCTTGCAGTGCCCTGGCTGGGCTCAGTGGTCCGAGGGGCCAGGGTGTCTGTTCCAGAGGTGGCACTGGCCAAACACAGCAGGGCCCAGATGCAGCCCGGGCTGGATTCACCCCCAGAAAGTCTTCTCCTTGCATCTGAGGACGGGGGACACAAGCAGCCCTGGCCTTTCCCACTGCGTCGTTCCACCTGGACCTCACACTCCTGTGAGATAGCAGGACGAGGCTGATTGGGCCTATGTCTCATATGAGAAAACTGAGGCCCAGGGAGAGGAGATGACTTCCCAGAGCCCATGGCAGAGCCAAGACTAAATGCAGGCGTCCTGTCCCCAGAGCTCCTTCTCTCACCCCGGCTTCCCATAGCCTTGGCAAATAATAGTAGAAATAATGATGGTGATGATTATAATAACAGCTTCCGTTCACCGAGCACCTGCTATGTGACAGCTCTATTCCAGCACTTTGCACCTACCACAGAACTGAATTCAATCCCCACAACCAGCCCATAAGGTAGATGCTATGTTCCCCCTTACGGACAGGGAATTTGAGTCTCAAGAGGTAAATGACTTGCCCACGGTCTCACATCTGAGAAGCAGCATCGCCAGAGGAAGCAGCTTTTGGTGTCGTCGAGAGCATGGACTCAGGAGCCAGACTGCCTTCTGTGCCACTCACTGGCTGTATGGCCTTGGGCGAGTGACTTTACCTTTCCATGCCTCAGTTTCTTATCTGTAAATGGTAATAATAGCTCCCGGTTCACAACATTGTTGTCGGGCTAAAGGCGTTAACACTTGCAGAGCATGTAACAGTGTCTGGCACATAGAAAGAGCTGAACAAGCTTGTAACAGGTTGAATAACGTCCCCCAAATTTACGTGCACCCAGAAGCTCAGAATGTGACCTTATCTGCAGATGTATTTTATTAAAATGAGGTCATACTGGATGAGGGTGGGCCCTAAATCCAATGACTAGTATCTTTATGAGAGAAACGAGAGGAAGATGTAGAGACACAGAGGGACACATGGAGAAGACTGAGGCCGAGGTTGGAGCGAGACAGCTACAAGTCAAGGAACGCTGAGGTCCGCCATAAGCCACCAGAAGCTAAGAAGAGGCAAGGAAGGATTCTTCCCTAGAACCTTTCCAAAGGAACGTGACCCTGCTGACAGCTCCGTGTCAGACTATTAACCTCCAGAACCATGAGAGAGTACGTTTACACGGTGTTAAGCCACCCAGTTTGTGGTACTTTGTTATAGCAGCCTTAGGAAACTATATGGTATTCATTAAACTAAAAAATCAAAAGAGAATTTTTTAAAACCCAGGTCTGTTTGTCTCCAAAGCTCAAACCCTGGCCAGGGATACTGCAGACCCTCTCTGTGAAGTGCTCTTCTTCAGTGGTCAGAGCTGTGGTCCTTACTCCCACCCCCTCCCCGCTCTGGGCATGGAACGTGCCATACTCACAGCAGCCTCTTTGCTCCCTGAATGACCCCCTTCAGACAGGAGATTCCAAAATCAAGATCCTTGCTCATGTGAGAATCTGGGAGTTCTCCCCACATAGTCAGTGGCACCGACAAATGGTGTGTCATGTCCCTGCTGTAAGAGCCACACAAATTTGTCTTTCACCAGTATCAAGAACAAATGCATCTCTACTCATCATAAGAGAGTGCTTTTTTGGCTTCAACACTGACAGCTTGGCTACTGATGGCATTTTTTTTTTTGCTCTGGCTGCCAGGAAGCTCAAAGCCATGTTACAAGCTTAATCACAACTGTACTGGCTTAGATTTGGGGGATAATTCTCTTTCCCCTTGTTTACGAAGTTTCTCAGTCTGTTATGTTTGGTTAGCGGTGGTAGTAAGGAGGCCGTCTGAGTCAAGGGGAGTACAGAGAACTGGGAGCTGGAACCCCTGGCTTCTGGTTCTGTGCGAATTTGGGGATGGCTTTCTCTTTCTGAAGCCCACTTTCTTCATCTTTAAATGGAAGATGAAAGTCCCTGTCCTGTCTGCCAAAACGTTAAGTGAGGCAATGTATGTGACAGTAGTATCTACTACTAATGTAATAGATAATGTAAACTATCTACTACATTACCTGTGTGATGAACTCAGGCATTTGTCTCAGAGAAACTAGGCCTGGTATAAGAATGAAAACAAAACAAAACAAAACAATAAGTTATTAATAGGAATAGAGCTGCCCTATTAAGGTTGTCTACAGCATACCATGAAGGCTCCTCTGTTTTTCCCATCAGGTCTGTATTATTAGGGTTGTCAACCCCATTGGCTCATGGGAAGCCCAAGGTATGTGGAGTGAAGAAGAATCTGGGCTTCTTTGGCTAGGGCTGTTCATTCAGCCACACAGCCTCTCCTGGGGGAGGGGAGAGGCTGGAGGCTGGTCCCAGGATGTTGATCTCTCCTCCTGCCTCCAGGGATGTTTGCTCTCTTGAGATTATTAACCAGTGCAAACGGAGGGAGCAAACTCTGCCAAGGGCCACTGGACTTTGAGCTGCTTTTTAAAAATTAACCCTGGGCCTCAAGGATACACAGCCAGCAGGGGTCAAGAGATGCTGACCCCTCTTTCCTCTCTCGCCATAGGGGTGGGAGGATGGAGGCTCTGGGGCCCCTGCCCTCCCAGAGGAGTCAGGGGTCCAAGAGTCCACAGGAACTGGCCATGTTCCAGAATCATTTCTAGGGATGAAGGAGGGCCTGCCCCATGCAGGAGGCCTCAGAGCCTCAGAGGTGTCCTGAGCAGCAGGGAATAGAAGCCTCATTTTCAGATGTGTCCTGAGCAGTAGGGAATAGAAGCCTCATTTTCAGATGAAAACAGAGGCTCGGGGAGGGAATGGGACTTGTTTAAGGTCACCCAGCTGTGGTCAAGCTGGAACCCGGGCTTCCTCCATCTTTTATTCATTTGTCCACTCATTCATTCACCAAATACGTCCTCTGTACTTGGTGGCGATAGGATGGAGAATATGACAGACCTCCCGGAGCTCGCTGCTGGTGAGGGCGGGATGGGAAGGAAGGATGAGAAGATAAGACAAGATAGTCACTGCAGTAACGGGGGAAGCAGAGGCCAGGGGAAGGGAATCTAACCGGATGAGCAGGAGTTAGCCAGACCCAAGTGCCTACGGTGGTGGGGAAAGAGGGTGTTCTAGACAGAGTAAGCAGCAACTGCAAAGGCTTAGAGGAGAAAGATGAAGAGAGAGAAATGTATTTGAAATGCAAAACGAAAAACCAAACACACATAGGTCTGGAGATTGGACAGAGGGCTGTGGCAAAACGAGGCCGGGGGGTGCGGCCAAAGCCCAGCAGTAAGACCTGTGATCCCAGGCCCAGAGGTTACCTGGAGTGTGCAGGAAACACTGGGGGGTGTTCAGAAGTGAGTAGACAGTCAGATTTGTATCAGGAGGGATCAATGAGGAGGCAATCGCAGTGGGAGGCCCAGGAAAGCAACTCCCTAGGAGGTTTTCCAAGAAGAAGGAAGAACCTGGGGCACTGGGACCTGGTGACTGGACAAGCAGGGACATGGAGGACATTGGGCAGAACTCAGAACTAAGGCCAGGGTCAAGGTTCCTCTGCTAATGGTGGAAGGGGGTGGCAGGTGGCCTTCTCTCCCCACGAGGAGGTATCCAGCTGCTGGCCTCACCCCAAATGCCTGACCCCACCCAGCTCCCATGGACTCGAAGCCAAAGCCTGTCCAAAGCTGGAGGTGAGCAGCACCCAGGATTCCACGACCAGCAACAGGAGAAGAGATGTCTTCACTGCCCTGTGATTTATAAGTTTGCTACTCATTCCCCCTGCCTGTCTTAAAGAGCCAGGCCACCCAGAAATTCGGGTCCCAGTCTCTGTGACTGGCAGGGTGACCGTGGGGCAGTCTTCCCTCCCTGGCCTCACCTTCTTCATCTAGAGTTCAAACTGAGGGTAATAATAACTCACTTGACAGGGCTGAAATAAGAACCGAATAAGAGACGTTTGTGGAAGTGCACTTCAAGTGTACACACTGGAGGGACCAATATCATCACAGGCACTTTGAATCCTGTCTGGTACCAGGCAAGGGCTGCCCATACAAGCTGCAAAAGCGCATGAGCAGCCCATGTCCACCAGAGGGCAGCAGAGATCTTCTAGAAAGGCCATGGGTTTCCTCACAGATGGCATGGTTCAGACCAGGAAACAGGGCAAAGGCCCATAGCACTGGTCTGACCAGGGCTAGAACCAGCCTCCCTTGGCAGAGCCTGCTTAAAATTCCCTGGTGAGTGTAAAACATCCCACTTCTACCTTGCCTATCTGCACCTGGGCTACAGAGTTGGACGCTTGGGTGGAGCCTTTCAAAAAGAGTTCCCTGGGAGATCCTCCTGGTAAGCCAGAATGGGGTATGGCTTCTATAGACCACAAGGCTGCTGTGCCTGAGTAATCACTTGATTAAGGTCCTACAGTGTTTCACGTGCCAGGCCCCAGGATGAGTACTCCACAAGTGCATCTTACAGAATCTTTTCGTTAAGGTTCCATCATTTTACTACGATGGGAGTCATATTTTGCAGATGGGGAAATGGGGCTGAGAGATCAGGTGACCCAGTGTCGAAGGGTACCCAGATAGTGAGTAATGACTGAACCCCAGATGCATCTCCCTGATACCCGAGTCACTCTGCTGACCTTCCAGACCCTGTCCCTGATAAACAATGGGACCTTGGCCATGTTCTTTCAGAGACCTGGGGCAGACAGGTGGACTATCTCTTGCTACTGGATTTCTCACAGCTGGAGTCAGGCTGATGTGAGTCTGGCTCTCCCTTCCACGGCCAAGATCATGTTCAATGTCTGCCACACTGAGAACTGACCTTTCTGTTCTTTC